AACCCTCAACCCTTAACCCTTAAACCCCAAACCCTGAACCCCAAACCCTTAAATCCTCAAACCTTTAACCCTTACTGTAACCCTGAAACCCCAACCCTGAACCCCAAACCCTAAAAAACCTTCAAATACCCTAAAAAAACCCTAAAAAACTTTAAACCCTAAACCCCAAACTCTAAACCCTAAACCCTAAACCCTAAACCCTAAACCCCAAACCCTTAACCCTAAACCCTAAACCCTATAAACCCCAAACCCGGGGGCCTCGTCCGGTAGTTCGATGTCGAACGCCTCTTCCAGGGCCATCCTCGGCGGCAGGCTCTGGGTTTTTGGCTGATATAAAGGGTTTAGGGTTTAGGGTTTAGGGTTTAGGGTTTAGGGTCTAGGGTTTAGGGTTTAGGGTCTAGGGTTTAGGTTTTAGGGTTTAGGGTTTAGGGTCTAGGGTTTAGGATTTCGGGGTTTAGGGTTTAGGGGTTAGGGTTTATTGGGCTTAGGGCTTATTGGGTTTAGGGCTTATTGGGCCTAGGGCTTATTGGGTTTAGGGTTTAGGGCTTAGGGTTTATAGGGTTTAGGGCTTATTGGGTGTAGGGCCTATAGGGTTTAGGGCTTATTGGGTTTAGGGTTTAGGGTTTATAGGGAGTTATAACTTCGCCATAACATATCTGTAGGTTAAAGAAGGTGTCTGCAGGAACAAAAAGAGTGGTTGTTGGGTTTAGGGTCGGAACAGGTCGTCAGAATATCCCTACATAGCTATACAATGATGGTCTACAGTACCCCAAAACCCGATTTCCAAAATTAAGGGCTCCATACTTGTGGGCTTAGGGTGTGGGGCTGTGCGAGTTCTAACGGTTTAGGGCTTGGGCATTTCGGTTGAAGGCATCGCAGACACCCGATAACGATGGTATTCCAGATGTGTGCAGTTCTCCAAATTAGGGTCCCGTTTAGGTCCCAACAATAGTCCGACACCTTTCCAAGCAGGACCCGAAAATTGACCCTAACTTAGAGAATTACCCATGTGCAAATTCAATGCTGGCCTGCCTCTGATCGGGTTCCGTGTCGAGGACCATGGTTTACAAAACCACGCCACGATCAGCGGGAGCAGGGCCGGCTCCATGGCCTTGGGAAGAAGCACCCGGCCAAGCATTCGAAGAAGCGGGCTGCTGAGAAGGGTCCCCTTGCTGAGCGGGACCATCACCCGGCCCATCATTCGAAGAAGCAGCCGCGGCTTGAGATTGCTCATGGCACCACAAAGCATCCTGCATCTCTGGCGGCTGACGCTGCTTCGGCAAGCTCTCCCAGTAGCTCAGCCAGTCGGAGAGGGTATATCCCAACCAGCCATCGTAGGTGCTGGCGGGAACGCCCCAGACAAGCATCTCCTCCTGCGGCAAAGGAGGCGAAGAAGCAGCATTGGCCTGAGAAGGCTGCCCAACGTCTGGCTGAACAAAAGCAGAAGGGGTCCAGGGTTGAGGGTTTAGGGCTTTAGGGTTTAGGGTTTAGGGTTGAGGGTTATGTCTTATGTCACCTTGATTGCTGGCTGGCTGTTGGTTCGGGTTTAGGGTACAGTGGCTTCTGGCTCCAAACTCCCTCCTGAACCCTTGAAAACCCTAAACCAAGAACCCTAAACCCTGAACTCTGAACCCTGTACCCTAAACCCTTTAATCCTAACCCCTAAACCCTGTTCAAATGACGTCTACAGGGACACTGACTGTAGACATCTGAACAACAAAGCTTGCTACACAGACCATAACCTTGACTCTTGATCTTCGAGAGAAGGCAGATCAGTAAAACAATAAAACATGAGTTTTGTAGTAAATACTGAACGAGACCCCTAAACCCTGCGCCCTGCTGGAATCATTGCCCGTATGGAAGCCATTGTAGAAACCCTTCTAGATAACCCTGACACTTTAAGCCCTGAACTCTAGAGTAATCCTTTTAGTAAGTCGTCCAACAAGCGCCCAAATGATGAACAAAAAAAACTGTCCAGAGCCCCAAAGTGGCACAGACTCGACGATGTCCAGCGAGTCTGCACCGAGCTCGGAAAGCGTGGCCTGCACCGAAACCCTCGCAGAAAGGGGTCCTATGGATGGTATAAGGTTTCTGGAACCCTAAACCCTAAACCCTAAACCGTAAACCCTAAACCCTCAACCCTAAACCCTAAACCCTTAACCTTCCTAAGAGGGGTTCTGTGGTTTCGGTCTTGCCGTTCACTAGGTTTCGAAAGCCTAGAAGGGTCCCAGGATGACTCAGGGTTTAGGGTTTTGGATTTAGGGTTTAGGGTTTAGGGTTTAGGGTTTAGGGTTTAGGGTTGGGTTTTCAAGGATGCTTTTAAAATAGAGTTGCATGAGCTTGCCTACTGCAGTTTCCGGTCTACCTTCAGTAGTGTGTTTGTCGCGCTCTGTGCATATGTACTGCGGTGCCATCTCAAAAAAGCCGTCATGCCCGAGGCCTTTAGGATTTAGGATTTAGGGCTTAAGGTTCAGGGTTTCCGATCGCCAGCAAACGGAGGTCGGCATCGGGCGATTGCCATGTCAGTTCCATAGTTCCTTGCAAGTTTGGGCAGAGGTTTTTCGGCCCAATCCACCGGGCCACGCGATTGGCCTTTGCAAGACCCTAAACCCTAAACCCTAAACCCTAAACTTCTCGTTGCCGAGCCTTTTCTGCCTTTCAGTAATGGCCGCCTGCGTGGGTCCAGTTCGCTCCATTTCCCCAGCTTCAGCCCTAGCTGCAACGCCCAGTTTCTCCACCTCCTCACAAAACCGCCAAAGAAGGTTAGGGTTTAGGGTTTAGGGTTTAGGGTTTAGGGTTTAGGGTTTAGGGTTTAGGGTTTAGGGTTTAGGGTTTAGGAACACCGTGTGCCCATGAGCACGCTCCAGCTCCAAAAACGTTTTGCAAGCATCGATCCATCCTGTGGTGGTTGCCTTCGGTCCCGACCCTGCCGTGAACAATGGACAACCTTTGGTTCCGCTGGATGTGCTTAATGTCGGGGCCTTAATAACTAGAATAGGGTTTCGGGGTATGTTATACTATAACTATACTAAGGACCNNCCCCCCCCCCCCCCCAATAGTACTGGTAATTATTACTAGGCCCCTAAATTGCTCCAAAGAGGAAGGAGCCCCAAATCCTTCACTACGGAACCCCTTTAAGGCATCAACTCAACCCAAACCCTCAACCCGGAACCCTAAACCCGACGCCCTTTAAGGCATCAAACTCAACCCAAATAACGTAGGGGCCTTAATACTTCGAAGAAGAGTTTGGGGGTTCCTCTTTATAATCATAGCAGAATATAGCCTCAAACCCTATTCTAATCATTAAGGCCCCCAAATTACCCTCAAGACCGGCAGTCCCCAAAACCCTCTCGAAAAACCTGTACAGAACCCGAATAAAACTGCTCTAGGAGCATTTGAATGAACTATTCAAGCCACCCTCTGGGAACTTTCGAACAAAGATTTCTATTGAAGCCACCTTCTAAGAACTTTTGAATAAACAATTTCGGTTCAAACCACCCTTGTAAACTCTGCGACCCGTATGAACCCAAGCGCCTCTCGGGTGACCTTGTCCTTCTCGACACCCAGCTGCTCCGCAATGACCTCGGCAACCTCAATGCTAGGAGGGCTGCATTTGGGAGCGAGTACAGCTTTACCGAGCTTTGTGGGGTTGTTGAGGGTTTCACAAGGTTAGGGCTGAGGGCTTAGGCTTGGCTCTGAAGCTTTCGTTCTGGGCTTCAGGTTTAGGTCTTACGTTTCTCAAAGTGGAGCATCTCGAACCCCTAAACCTAATGTAGGGTCCTTAATAATTAGAATCGGGTATCATATGCAGTATAATATACCCTAAACCCTATTTTAATTATTAAGGCCCCTAAGCCTAAACCCTAAAACCTAGACCCTAAACACCCTGAACCCTACAGTTGTCTATGTCTCGGTCCCTTTTCCGATCACGAGTGTAAGGACATCCCGGACTCTGTCACGTACATATAGGGATGAGGGTTTAGGGGTTAGGGTTTGGGAATTCAGCCTGACGCTGGTAGGGTAGAGGAACCGCAAACCCCACATAGAACCCTTCTAAGAACCCTTAAACGCACCTCTTCTACAAGTCGTCAAAAGCCTTATCGAACCCTTCCAGGAACCTTCTGAAACCCGTTTTTAGAAAGCAAGGAACTGGTTCAGGAACCTTCTAGAAACTTGCTTCAAAACCCCAAAATGAATCTCTATACAGTAACCCCTGTCTGGTCCCTTAAAGGAACCCCAGAAGAACCCCGTAAAGGAACCTTTAAAGGAACCCTTCTTTACCCAACCCGAAACCCTAAACCCTAAACCCTAAACCCTAAACCCTAAACCCTAAACCCCTACAGCCTAAACCCGAAACTCTTGGGGACCTTCTCGGCGGTGTCCGCAGAGGCGGTCGCCTCGCAGGGTCGACGGAAACGTTTTTTGGTTTAGGGTTTAGGGTTTAGGGCTTAAGTGTTTTTGGTGGGTTTGGGGTGGGTTTTATTGTGGTTTAGCGTGGTTTTCGTGCGTTTTCATGGGTTGTAGTGGGTTTTAGGGGTTTGCAGCGTTGGTGTTTCTACAGGCTTTTGGGCTTTCCTTATGGGTGTGTTAGTCAGGCTTTCCTGGGGGTTCTATGGCGTCTTTTGTGCATATCGAATCCAAACGTTACGGGGCTTTACAGGCGATTGGGTTTTACCGGGTTAGGATTTAGGAAAAACATGTTCAACAAACTTCCTTGAAGGGCGCCTGTAAGACATTTATAAGACTCAGACTCCATTAATTAACGATTCCTGCACGGGTTCTCCTTGCAAGGGTTCAAGAGTTTCAGGGTTTGGAACATGAAACAAAGTTTAAGAGCTTAAGGACGTCGGGCGTAAAGTTTACAGGTTTTGGGCTTACGGGCCGAAGCTCTCGTTAAGGCCTCCACATCTGAACTTCAACGTGAAGCGTTACAAAACGCACAACCCTGTAGGTTCGTTTATTTGGGATTCAAGGGTAAAGGTTAGCATGACCATGCAAGACCTGAACCCCGATCCGAAATCCGTAAACCTTAACCTCAAAGTACTCTCAAAGTGCAACTGCAATACATACATGTCTCGGTGACGGTGCCTGCCGGAAAACGGTCACCGAGCGCTGCGCGCGAAGGGCCGGAGAGGGCGAGACGAAGGTGAGATTCCTTGGTGGAGCAGAGAGCGTCGGGTTACGGGGTCTAGGTTTTGGAATTCAGGGTGTGAGCTTCAGGATGAAAAACTGGCATTTGGCATCCAGCCGTGTTGGGCGCATGCTTTTGGAACGGAGCATTGGCTTAGAACAGATTTAGAAGAAATCACAATGCCATTAAACCCGATATGAAATAATTACTGTTCTTATTGTGCCTTGACTTTTCCCCGAAACGACACCCCAAGCATGCACTCACCCATGCTCCTGAGAAGCCCTGCATATACTCTCTAAGGTTGAACCCATGGGCCCCTAGTATGGGCCCTTAACCCTGCAACCGTAATATACTTACTATATACCCTATATATA